ACAGGCGGGCAGGAAAGTCAGACGCCTTTCCAAAGCCCTCTCGCCTGTATTGCATCACGCACGAGAACTTGCAGTACACGGCGTGGCACAAGCCAAGATTTTGGTGGAAGCGCTAAAATAAGTTCAGGGCTGGATGCAGTTTGGATCCAGCTGTTCCTGTGGCTGTCCCGGAGGGACAGATTTCAGACATGCTGGTACCTCGGTGGGTAGCTCAAATCAAGCTGCTCTGCCAACTCAGAGGGAGAGTTTGGGGTGCGTGTGCGTGGATATGCGTGAATACACACGCGTGGAGCTTTCTCCGTGCACGCTGCGCCCCTCAAAACAAAAATAAAACAAAACAAACAAGCAGAACAAAAACTAATTAAAAAAATAAAAATAAGAAAAATAAAAAGTTCTTTAGGGCTTGATTGCTTTTATTAATAGACACATTGAGCGGCCTTAACGCTCCTGGCGGTTTTTGACGGTACCGGGGAGCTCGGAGGCGGCGGGGCCCGCCCGGGATCCGCTGCGGGCGGCGGGGCCCGGGCCGGGCGGGGCTGCGCGGAGCCGGCAGGGGGCGCTGCCGCCCCGCGGATGCTCCGCGTAGCGGCGGGACCGGGACGGGACCGAGACCGGGACGGGACGGAAGCGGGAGCGGGACGGAGACCGGGACGGGACCGAGACCGGGAGCGGGACGGAAGAACCGAAGAATGGCGAGAGCGGCGTGCGGGCATGGCCAGAGCCCGAGCGGCCCGGCCCGGCTCTGCCCGGCTCGGTTCGGCTCAGCCCGGCTGGGCCCGGCCCAGCCCAGCATCACGTACTCTCGGTACCGCGCTGCTCACCGCGCCCCCGCGCAACTGCGGGTATTTCCTCCCGCTTCCCCCTCACATGTTGGTGTTTAAAAGGTCTGGTATGGATGGGTGCGGGTTAGGGTTTCGCGTGTAAAGCCAGGATTACGGATGTCCCGTGTTAATGACATTGTATTGGAAGAGCGAGTCCGACACCCCCGAAAACAACCACGCGGAACCACGGCGGGGCCGGGATGGGCAGCGCGCAAGTGGCGCTGGCTCGGGAGCGAGAGGGGACGGGGCCCTGAATTAGCGTCGGAAAGGGAAAAACTAAAGCAACACCGCCCGATCGCTGTTCCCGGGTCGGTGAGAGCAATCCGGGCAGCGAGGCCTTTTCTTGCTTCTGGTCCCGATCCCTGTCCCGGTCCCCGTCCGGGTCCTGGTACCGGTCCTCTGCCATTGAGAGGGGATCCCGGCGCCTCCAGCGCTGGCCCGGCTGTGCGGGACCGAAATAGAGGGATGAGATTTTCAGGGCTGGTCTCCTCGATGGGGAGGTCCATGGGAAGCATCCCATGTGTCCGTCCCACCCTGGAACCCAGGATGAGTGGGGAGCAAGGCCCTGTCCACGCGTGGCTCCTACTGCGAACGGAATCCACCTGCTCGGCGGAGGCCGTGCTGCCCGACCCTGGGCTCTCCCGCAGCCCCACAGCCCGGCCCAGGTCCTGGGAGCCCAGCCCGGCTCGGCCCGGCCCGGCCCGGCCCAGCATCCTGCCGAGCACTGCGCTTTTGCCAAGGACTCGCAGAAGGCTTAGACGCAATGAATAGGGTTTAGGGCGTCCAGACAAGAATTAAATTAGACATTTCACCCTCTCCTTTAACTCACTCAGCCCCACACACCAGATACGACCTGCCTAGGTCACCTCTTCTCCTTCCTGTGTGCATGAATATCTGGAACAGGAGGGGGAAAAGGGAGACAGATCCCACCTGGAAAATAAAGTTAAGGGGAGGCTGAAACTTCCCTCACCGCCACCCTCATACCCGCGAAAGTTCAGCCTGGTTTAGCCCATGAATAACCGTCTTACCCCGAGGTCCCCGCATCTGAGACCTTCCTCGCAATTTCTTCTTGGCTCGTCTTTTAAAAGATGGGTATTAGTTTGGAAATCCGGAGCTAGTGCCTTTGAGGCCAGCCATGTAATTTGACTGCGAATGTAGCGCACCCCTCCCTCCGAGAGAGGCTGCCTCTCGGTGCGCTTGGAGCAGATCGGGGATTGCTGGGAAGGGAGCCCCTGCCAGATTTTCTCCATGTAGACTCCAATAGGACAGCGAGAGCAGCCTGTCAAGACCTTGGGTAGGAAAAGTTCGAGACAGCGGCTTCGGGAGCTGCTGCCGGGGCAGGCCGGGATGGAGCTCAGCGGCCGTGGCCGGGCCAGCAGAGGCCGGGGCTGCTCGGGAGGCGTCCACGAGAAACAGCCACGGCGACGAGTGCGAGAATGATACAAAAATTTAGGGAGAAGAGGAAAATTCTGGGAAATCCCATCCCGAGTCATTTTGGCTTTGTTCTCACTGTCCCCGGTCTGTTTTATCTCTGACAAAACCCAGGGAAAGCTTATGCTCTCCAGGCTCTGCTTGCGGTTCCTCTGCCTGGATGAATCCCCGCATATACACACAACATGCACACAGATATTTGTACGTATGTATAGAGCACAGAGAGAGAGCAGGGCTCGGACCTCCAGGGTGCTGCGGCCGAGATCACTCTCTTTTCCCGAAAAAAATCAGGCTTGGCCGTGGAGAGCTCCCTGCTGCAAGCTTAGCCTCCTCCGTTCAGCTCCAAAACAGCGGGACCCTCCTTCGGAGAGAAATTTTAGGCTAGAGGATATTTCCCCGGCACTAAAGTAGGTCGAAGGAAATTTATCGATCGTTTTGGAGGTTCTGCGTGTGTGAGGTTTCTTTTCAAACGGATATAATTCCTCCCTCCCAAAGTGCTAAATTACCCGATGCAGTTTTCAAAGGAGCCCCGTGATTATGTCAGGATGTCTGGAAAGCAAAAAAAAAAAAAAAAAAGAAAAAGGCAAAAAAACCCGGAGTTGAAGTTTTTCCAATTCAGATTCATTCTTCAGTCCTGGAGAAGTGTAAATACGCAGATGCAGAACACTGTTCTTCCTAGAAGAAGGAGAAGTTTCGCTCTCTCTTTCTTTTTTTTTTTTTTTTTTTTTTTTTTTTTTTTTTTCATTTTCAATACACTAGAACCAAGATTCCAGACGAAATCAGCACATCAAACACCCGTCCTATTTAGGGCACTTTCTCATCCTTGCTCGTGTCTATAACCCCAGATCTTTTCGAGAAGAGGCGTAACGACCGCCGCTTGAGGGGAAAAAAGTTGCACGGCGAGGGGGTGAGGGGACTCAGAAAGTTAAGATACCAGCGACTCACGAGGGGCACGAGTGGGGCTGAAGGGAAATCCTTCTCTCCCTTGCTCGGCTCTTTCTGCTCAGTGGGGCCGGAGCCCTGCACTCTAGTATCTTCAGGCAGGAAAGGTTTTCCCAAAAGTGTGAGACCTGGGAGAATGGCACCTCGCAGCCAAATCTGCCCAAAGACTTGAGTTACGCCGTGTAAAGCTCACTTTGCTCTGCGCTCGCACGCACGTGTGGCTGTGGATATCTATACGTGCAGCCGCCTGGAGATCAGATTTACATTTCCTACAGAGAGTGAACTTCTCCCTCCAGAAAGTGCACACAGCGCGGGGTACACAAAGGGAAACACGGCCTCAAACAAAGGCGCAAGAACAGCCGCATCTTTGCGTGCCCAACACTGTTTTGTCACTTATATTTAGCCCGTCGATTTGGTATTGTGTTAAAAATATCGGCAAGCTGGGAACAGATGCTTTTAGCAGCGAGTGGGGAAGGAGAATAGAATTCACCTCGCCCTTTACTGGAAACAACCATTTAGACGGCGATTTGTTTGTTAGCATAATTTAATGCAGCGAAGTAACGGATTTTTAGTGTATGAAGTGGACAGAAAATAGAAAAAAAGGTCCGGGAGCGAAGGAAAGAAACGCTAGACTGGTTTTAAGACTTCCCCCATCCCTTGGTTCAACAGAAACATTAATTTACATTAGCAATTCCGCATCTTTAAGATAAATTACACAGCGGCGTAATAGATTTAAAGTACGCCAGATTTTTTTATCATTAATTGTAAATGTGCAAAATACCTGCTGGTACTTCACTTTAGAAGAATGTAATTGGCAAAAATGGGAGGCTGATGAATAGATAATAGATCCTTAACTACCAATAAACAGTAAGCACCAGCCAAGAGTATTAGGATGTGATCATAATTATTCTGCCGCTCCAGCCAATGGGAGGAGGAGAACTCAGCCCTAAAATCATCTCCGGACCCAAAGGTAAACGCGAAAATACGGACAAGGCTGGAACCGGAGACTTGATCCCCTGTCCCGTCTGCGAGAGCCCGGCGTGTCCCAGCTTTGCACGATGCGGCTGCCCTGCGCTTTGTGCTCCGCACCGCGCGGTGCGGGCAGCGCGGAGGAGCCAAGGGGAAATAAATAAGTTCGGAGGAGGAGGACGACCCGTTCTCTCATCGAGACGAAATCTTTCCCAAGCGGGGCATCTCCCCCTGACGCCCCGGGGCCGATCAAGGTAACCTGGCCGGGCTGAGAGTACCCGAGAGGTGGCAGGGACAGGGGTGTCGCGCTGGCGGAGCAGCCCAACTCCCCCCTGCCCTCACCCGAGGAGATGCAGGGCCCCCCACCTCCTGTCCCGCTGAGCCCCCCCTCGGCCCCCCATCCGCCTACCTTGTTCGCCGAGCAGCGGCAGGGGAGGGAGGGCAGCGCGGCTGCGGAGGGGCGCGGAGCGGGGCGGGGGCGGCGGCGCGGCGCTCCCCCCGCGCTGCCGGGCGCGCTCCCGCCGCACTCCGATCCGCGGCTCCATCCCTCCCGATGGCGCTGCCCGGCGCTCGCCTCCCCTCTGACGCACTTTAAAGAGTCTCCCCCTTCAACCTCAAGGCGAGTAATAGCGACCAATCATCAAGCCATTTACCAGGCTTCAGAGGAAGCTGTTTATGTGATCCCAGCACTAATTAGGCTCATGAACTAACAAATCGTTTGCACAACTTGTGAAGGGGCCGATCACATCCATGGATTGTCTTTGGACTTAGGGGGGGAGGGGGGGGCGCGACCGCCTTTTCCTTGCAGGAGGGAAACTTCTCCCAGCAACTTTTTTTTTTGTGTGAGTGTGTGCGTGGTGCGTGTGTGTGTCTCCCTTTTGGGTACCGCTGGCTGCCGCTGCCTCCTTTTCCTCCAGCCCCTGTCTATTTATGTGTGTATCTATCCCTCCTCAAGTCACTCCCTGCTGCAAACTTCCCCGGATCGTCTCCCGCGCACCAGAGAGAGACGGGCAGAGATTGGGTCGGGGACTCTCGTCGCGGCAGCATGTTTCAGCCCACACCCAAGCGGTGTTTCACCATCGAGTCGCTGGTGGCCAAAGACAGCCCCTTGCCCGCGTCTCGCTCCGAGGATCCTATCCGGCCGGCGGCGCTCAGCTATGCCAATTCCAGCCCGATGAACCCTTTTCTCAACGGCTTCCACTCCACTGGCAGGGGGGTCTACTCCAACCCGGACTTGGTCTTTGCAGAGGCCGTCTCTCACCCGCCGAACCCGGCCGTGCCGGTCCATCCCGTGCCCCCTCCTCACGCCTTGGCCGCCCACCCGCTGCCTGCTTCGCACTCCACGCACCCTCTCTTCGCCTCGCAGCAAAGGGACCCCTCCACCTTCTACCCGTGGCTAATACACCGCTACCGGTATCTGGGCCACAGGTTCCAAGGTACGTGCAACTTTTCTTCTCGTTCCGATCCAGCCCCGCATCCTCCGGCGGCTCCGGCCGGTCCCCGCCGTGCGGATGTTGGGGAACGGCGGGTGGGCGGGCGGCCCCTGCCCGGAGCGGAAGGCTCGGCTCGGCTGGGCCCGGGGTCTTTTGTCCCTGTTTCCCCCTTCGCCAAACTTGGAAGAGCTGTCAGAGCCGAGAGGCTTGGGCTTGGTTTTGTTTTGCTGCTTTTCCCGGTTTGTTTTGGTTTCCCGGGAAGTGGGGGGCAAACGGGAAGGCAAGGCCGGCTGGGACTTCGTCAGCTTTCTGCCCCCATTAAAAGCAAACGAAAAGGTGGATATTTTTTGTTCCGGTGTGTTAAAAGCTAGAGAGGATCCCCCGAAGGAAGCGGCCCACAGAGCGGGGAATGGAGAGGCGGTGAGGCTGAGGTTCCCCCGGGAAGGCGGCGGTGCCCGCCGGGCTGCGGGGCCGAGCTGCGGGGCCGCAGGAAGCCCCCGCCGCCGCCCCGAGTCCGCTGCCCTTGTTAGAGGGGAAGAAACGAAGCGAACCTCAGAGAAAGGAGGAGGGGAGCGAGTGTGGGGAATTAAACTCAGCACCGGAGCAGTGCAGGGAGATGGGGCTGCGGAGGATAGCCAGGGAAGGGGCACGGAGGGCGATCCCGACTGCGCGGTCGGCGAGGGGCTCCAAATGCCGAGCGATTAATAACCAGCAGAAGGGAAATAACCGAATCCAATGGCGGACAATCAATAAAACCCCCCTTGTTTAACCCTTTGTAACCGGCAGCGTCTTCTCCGAAGTGTGAGCCGATTTCTCCCGTAATGGGTCCAGCTTCTGCCACTTTCATTATAGGCAAACCAATCAATAAACAAACAAACAAAATCAGCCTCCACTCGAAGGGATCCATCTGCTTTTTTCCCCCCCCTTGTATTTTTATTTATTAATTCGGAACGAAAACAAACCACCTGCATGTTGCATTTTTCCCGGCCTTCCACAGCCGGGCCACTGGAGCCGGGTTGGAAAAGGAGTCACTCTCTCCGAAGCCAGGCGGTCTGAGACACAAAATGGATTATTACCCTTTCAGAATAAAATTACAGGTTTCGCTCACCAAATTATTTGTCGCAGGCACCAGGCGATTGGTAACGAGGGATAGATGAAAGGCGGAAATGTCCTGGTGTTGAGCCACAGCCGGATTTCAAACACACCCTCCTCCTCCAACGATTTTAAAAGCACTTACAGAGAGAATCCCTCGGTGCCGTTTCCACCTTGGAAGGACCAGCCCGGAGAAGCGGCATAGGGGCACCCCGGAGGGAAATACCCACCGAAAAGCCCCGGCTCACCACCCCCCGCTCCCGCCCCCGCTCCAATGCAGGCCGGCAGGAATGGGATGGGATGGCACAGCATTGGATGGGATAGGATGGGATAGCCACTCTGTGGCCTTCTCGGAGTTCGGTTCTTTATTTCCACGCCGGTTCCCAGCGCCGCCGAGGCAGCGGGGAGGGTCAGTGGGCCGGGAAGGAGGCGGTGGGAGCCCCGCTGCGGGCAGCACACCGGTAGAACGGAGGGAAGCGGAGGGAGAAAGGCTCCGGCCGAAGTTTTGGGAGACGGAAGCCGAGACAGGCCGGGGGAGCAGGCGGACTGCTCCCGGAGCCTGGTGGGAGGCCAGGGAGACTCGTGGGGCTCGGCCAGGGTGCCCAGCTGGCCGCGAAGGGAAGATGGAAATAACAAACAAATAGGGAAAGACGTGAGGCTCCGGTGGTCGAGGGGAAGGAGGGCAGCCATGAGGTGTAGCCGCAGACACCGCAGCAGTGCTCTGGCCAATTCTTTTTTTTTCCCTTCTTCTTTCTCTTCTGTAGTACTCCCCAGGTTGTGTTTTAGCATTTTAATTTCTACCAGTGCTCTCCTGCCCCTGCTTATTTATCCTTCCTCTCCACGTATTTATCAAAGGAAAAATCAATACAAAAAAAGGAGCTGAAAAATAAAAAAGAAACTATATTTGGATTTATCCTGAGGGTAATGGTGGGAGACAAAAATTCTTGCGCTTAAAAGTACTATCGAGTGCGTTTGGGGAAGGTGTTTTACTGATCTGTTTTACCCTGTTTGCCAGGGAATGAAACCAGCCCGGAGAGCTTCCTATTGCACAATGCACTGGCCAGGAAACCCAAACGGATCCGTACAGCTTTCTCCCCATCCCAATTACTGAGACTGGAACATGCCTTTGAGAAGAACCATTATGTAGTAGGAGCGGAGAGAAAACAGCTGGCACACAGCCTCAGCCTCACGGAAACTCAGGTAAGGGGGAAGCAGGGAACGGGCAGTGGGGAAAGCGAAAGTAGCGGCATCTCCTTTGGAAAACCCACCCGGCCGGGCCGAGATTCGGACAACGATAAGGGCAAATTCTAGGGGTGTTGAGGCCTCCAATCCCGAACCGGTGGAGCGGAGAGAGGGATCTCCCCTCGCCTGAGTGTCGTAAAATCCTATTCCCTTTCGGGGTTTCCCGGCTCGTGCCGGGGGTCGCGGTGCCTCGGCCGGGCGTGGGGAGCCGCAGCGCTCGGGGCGCGATTTGGGGTCCCCCGGGCAGCCCCGGCTGGAGCTCCGGCCCGAGCGGGGAGGCGAGAGCTGCGACCTGCGGGTCCGCTGGTTTTGCTGCAGGACTGGTCTGACCCTCAAGAAGGAGTTCGATGTTAGGGGGAAAGCCACCAAAACAAATGCGGGGGCAAGGGGGAGAACCTCCCCTTTAGACCCTACTGCAGAAACACTGTTTCTTGGATTAATTTTCGCTCGTTTCTAGCCGGCAGAGGGGATGTGATGAGCAGGTCCAGGAGGGCAGAACGATGAAAAATAAAAGCAGAGAAATTATTCACAAGGAATCCCCCCCTTGCCCCTTCCATCCCCCCTCCCTCCCTCCCCTCGGACTGGCTGCTGGCCAGAACCACACCGGAGACTGTTTCGGTCTCTCTGGCGGGACACTCGGCCATGTTTCTGCCACGGCCCGAGGGTCTCGGCAGGTACCGGGGCCGGGAACCCGCGGAGCTCCCCCCGACGGCCGGGGACCCAGGGCCGGCGGGCCCGCTGCGAGGGCATTTTCCACGCGGTTTTCTGCCCGCCGGAAGAAAGGTTGGAGTTTGGATATTTGGAGGATTGGTAGTGGTTGTTGTTCTTGTTGTTGTGTTGTGTCGGGCTTTTGTTTTGCGCCCTTCCAGTAGACTCGTGGAGAGAGAGGGTTGCAGATGGGGTTTGTCTCTGCTACAGTATGTGGCACTGTACAAAAAAAAAAAAAAAAAAAAAAAAAAAAGCCAAAATACCCAGACACAGCCTAGTTCAAAGTTCCCAGTAAACACAGCGTTCTCTGGGCGGATTAAGTTGTAACACTTTTTTTTTTTTTCTTAACTCCTTTTCGTGGGGGAAGCAATAAAGGGGTTGGAGCTTTTGTTTTAAAATGTCTCCCTAACAAAACAATAAAAAGGGATCGCCACTTTTATGAGGTTCCCCGAACAAGGGACCGGTCACAGGCTTATTTCTACTGGAAAGCTGTATTTAAGGTGGTCTTTGTGCTGCTTGATTCCGAAGCTGGTTGGGGTCTTTTGTCCGGATGTCAAACCCCCAGTCCCCTACAAATGAGCTCCCTTTTGGGAGATCAGCGTGCAGAAATGAACCGTCCTCCCCTTCAATTAGCAAACTAAAAGCAAATTAAACTCACCCCTTGTTCCCCGCTCAGCTTTTTAATGGGGGACTTTTGGAGAATATGAAAATGCAGCAGAGATGTGTGTCCGGCCAGTCAGGTCTCTGTTCTGAAGAGGCAGCGAAGCGGGTTAAACCAGCTTATTAAAATGCTCCAGTTCCCTTTCCCCCCCTTGCTGAGGCCTTTATCAGGCACTTTCAGACAGAACCAGAGTTTAAACTGCTTTTGGGGAAAAAAAAGTTTACCTTTGGACGCTCCAAGGAGTGTGGCCAGCCCTGGAGATAGCTCCCAGATCAATACTATCTGTAATTAATGCACTGAAGTCAGCTGCCGGATGGTTCAGTCAGATGTACGCGGCGCTGAACAAAATCAGAGGGACATTTACGATGCCACTTGCCGGTTTCACCGCACCGCGACCGCTCCTGGACGGCGCGTCCCAGAGAGACGCTGCTGAAAGCGATAGAAGTTTTCCTATTCGGGGCATTTTGTACATTTTATTCGCTTTTCCACAAGGAAAAAAATCTCGTGCGTCCACCCCCAGCCCCATCCTGCCGCCCCCTTAGAACGGACGAGGCCCTGTCTGTGCTTTGCTCCGCCGGGGAGCCCCGCAGCCCCGATGGCTCTCTCGGGGCTGGAGGCAGTGGCACACCTCGCCAGGAGCGGGGAACCGGAGCCTTTCCGAGCGGCGGGACCGTGCAGGTGACAGCCCACGGGCGAGCTCCCCGCGTGGGCTACCTGGGCTCTGCTGGGGGCTACGCGCCCGCGGAAGCTGCAGGTGCGCGCACGGCGCATTCCCCGCGGTGCTGCTCGCTCCCGCACGCGTGGGGGCTCTGGAGGTGCCCGTGGGGCGTGGGGCAGCCTGACCGTGCCTTTCCCGCAGGGAAAGAGGGTTGGGTGGCAGCGGGGCCCCGTCTCTGCTCGCCAGGCTGGCCAGGGTGACACAGGACACGGAGCAGTGGGGACACGCTGCGGGCAGAGCACAGCGCGGGCAGGACACGGAGTGGAGCGTCTCCCTGCTCCAGGGCAGCGGGAGGGCAGCACCGGCGGCCGGGCAGGCGTCGGATTAACCCCCGGTGCCTTTCCTCCCGCAGGTAAAAGTATGGTTTCAGAACAGACGGACAAAGTTCAAGCGGCAAAAGTTGGAAGAGGAAGGTTCAGACTCACAACAGAAGAAAAAAGGGACTCATCACATTAACCGGTGGAGAATCGCCACCAAACAAGCCAGTCCAGAGGAAATCGACGTCACGTCGGACGATTAAAAACTGGCACTTTTGGACTTTTCAAAGCCAGCACCTCACCAACCGAAAGTGTTAAAGGCTCACCCCCCGCACCCCCTTGGCGTGGCGGTGCGGGGAAGGACACGGAGATCTTCATCAAAACACGATTCCTGCCTGGGAGGGAGCTGGGAGCGAGCGAGGGCCAGCCAGCGAGGGGTCCGAACTGTGGCACTGCCGGCACCGCTCTGGCACAGGGGATCTGTCAATCAAAGCCAAAACATCGGGACGAGGTGATTGACAGGTATTCCGTTTATCGCAGTCCACTTTTAAAAGCATAACGTAAAAAAAAAATTTAAAAATATATAGAAAAAAAATCTTAAAAAGAAAAAAAAAAATAGAAGCAAAAAAAGCCCCCCCAACCAAACCAGAAAAATTAACACCTTACGGGACATTTTGCACTTCACGGTTTTTTCCGTCTTTGAAAGAGAAATTTCCATAAGCAGCCAAAACCCACACCTGTTTCAGAAACTTGAATTGCATGTGTAAAGCCGTCTGGGGAAAAAAAAGAAAGAAAAAAAAAAAAGGAAAAAGAAACGGAAAAAAAATTACTCCGGTTCCTAAAGACAGAAATTAATTGTAATTTTTTTTCCCTTTAAGACAGGTTCTGTGTGCTTTTTAATTTTATTTTACGAGAAATGTGCAGTCTGTAAACATTTTATGATAACTTCTGGCGTCAAAGTGTTTGTGAAAGCTAAATGAAGTAGCAGTAACAAAGCATAGTGTTCCTTCCGGATGGACAAACACGGTGGGGAGGGGAGGGACGGGAGGGAAAGGCGGGGGGGTGGGGGAGGTTGGGCTTGGTCATAACTTTTGCTGCAAAAAAAAAAAAAAAATCAAATGGAATTATCTCCCCCTCCCCAACTGTATCCCCATTGCAAAACCGGATGATGATTACTTTTTTTTTTTTTAAGATTAACAAAGCGCAAACCCATCGACCAGTTTTGGCGGTGGGGACACCTTCTAGGCTGGGAGGATCCAGAGAAAAGGGACTTAAAATCGCGGATTGATTTTTTTTTTCCTAATGGCCATTTTCATTGGGTCAATTTTCAAGCACTGACCTTATAATATTCCGAGATCATAGAGCTACTAAAAAAAAAAAAAAAGTGACAAATGTTTCCTTCATGTCTCCTATACCAGAATGTAAATATTTTTGTGTTTTGTGTTTAATTTGTTAGAATTCTAACACACTATATACTTCCAAGAAGTATGTCATTGTCAATATTTTGTCAATAAAGATTTATCAATATGCCCTAAATTTTAAAGCAATATCTTTTCCCCTTCACCCCCAAATTTCTCGGAAACCGATGGTTTCCCCCTACACCGCCTTGTTTTTAGCTGCTGAACCCCCGCGGCCGCGCCGCGCATTCCTGCGGCCATAGGCGCATTTTCTTAATGTATTCGCTGGCTGCTAAATAGACCTCCAAAAATAAGCCGCAGAGGCGCACTTGCTGTACATAAATACCTAAAACCCCCCGAAACAGAACCAACCAACCAAACAAAAACCTCAAGGAGAAACCCAGCCCCTTCCCTGGTTAGAAACAGAAGTGCGGACCGGTTCGTGATGGTGAAACTGGTCGGCAGCAGCCGCGCTCCGCTGAGAGAGGCTTTCCTCGGTAAAAATAGGTGTTTTATTTAGAGACAGAGGATTTTTTTTTTTTTGGTCTTTTTTCCCCATCTTTTCTATCCCCTGTCCAGGTCGGTGAGGTGAGGGACAGGTCCTGTGAGCAGAGGCTGCGCCCCAGCTGCTGCTCTCCCTGCCTCTCTCAGGTAGCGATCCTGGGCACAGAGTAAAACTCTGACATTAAAGAGGTGGGGGAAAGGAAAAAAAAAAAAAAAAAGAAAAAATAAAGTTGCTCTGGGTCCTTGAGGAAACTAGCTGGTTTTCTGGGGGTACACAGTTGTTTTTTCATGCTTCATTTGCTCCTTAGCCTGATAGACTGCATTA